CCAAACAACACGATTCCACAATCTATGCCTGTCTACAACCTCTACGACGCCCAAAGACCCAAACTTTTCGGTATCAAAACCCAGCAAGCAGGAAGTGAGAAAAGGCCAAAATGAAGAACTGAACCTCTTTAACTGTGAGCTTCTTCCTCCTCTGCTTCCTAGATTCCTTTCTGGTATCAGCCTCATCGTCTGCAAACAAAAATCAACGACATAAAAATGAGCAGAATTCATAATATTTCCCAAAACCTGAATCAGAAACCCATTAAAGAACCCACCGATTATCAATTCACGGGACAAGGACGATGAGTACTCCCTGACTGCAACTTTAGCTTCCTGTTCGAGCTCATCGACGTCAAACTCGTAATCCTCTCCGTCGGACTCATCAAATTCCTGATCCAACTCAGTGTCTGGTTCAGCTATTTCTTCTTGGTCATCGTCTATGGAGGATTTGCACGTAATTAACCCGGGAAGTGGAGATGAAGAGCGAGGGGGTTGCAGGGGAAAGAACGAAGCTTTAGCGGAGGAGAGAAACGTATGGGAAATCGAAAACTTGCAGAGGGAAGGAAACGACGCAGAAATGGAGAATGGTTTTGCAGCGAACAAGGCAGCCGTTGCCGTGACAGTGGACATTACTACTACCGCCGGTGGTCGGAAGGTTTTTCAGAGGTTTATCGCAAGGTAGGTTTATCTTTATCCACTTGGAGACGCGACGATTGGAAAAGGCAGAGGATTGAAGGTCAAATACCAATTTGGTCACTGAGCTTGTCAATATGTTTCACATTAGACACTGATCTCTCCTCTTTTCCACGTCTTCCTGCAACTCAGAAGTCCACGCTAATTCTGACCCATTCCGCCAATGGTGGATCTGATTATATGCATTGGTCCATTCAATTTCGGGTTATTAAGCAAAGTCAATGTTTTACAGTCTACTTACTCTGCCTCCTCTTGAGCAAACCCAGAAAAGAGTTCAATTCAATCAATCAACAAATGGCGGAAGCGGTTCTTATTCCTTGAACAGGATCAGCACATCAGGAATTAGGCTGTGCATCATCAAAGCAACTACGTCCGTTCTTGAACCCTATATCAAAGTGCAACGTGGTAATTGGTATTCTCGTTCTTCTCCCTGATTGTTCGATAGTGATAGTGAGTACTTTCGACACTAGAAAATATGATCGGAGTATAATGAAGTGCAACCTTATAGTATGGCATTCGATAGTGAACATGTTTGACACTGAAAAATATGAATGAAGCATAATGCAGTGCAACTTTATAGTCTGCCCTTTACTGGATTTTGTGCACATATTTTAAACTCTAAGAAACCAGCAAAAGGGCTTGCAGAAGATTGAATTTTGCTTGCAGAAAATTGCGAAAATTCGTGTGTAATTTAGTTAAGATTTACAATTTGAGAAACTACATACGTCTTATGGTGTCTTGAACTTTTGTAGATGTTGACGTTATTGCTTTACGTATTTGGAAGTGTCATTTAGCTCAATTGTACTAATCGTACCAAATGTATACCAGTGCCACTAGAACATTGGATTAATGGGGTATTGATTAGCCAATTTGACTTAAATCTTTTGAGATGATTGTTTCACTTAATTTTGCATAAGAAAAGCAAGAGAATAATGGAGGAGAGGGGGAAGAAGGGGTTAATGTATGGTGCTGGTTCCTTTCTTGTCATATGCATTTCCCCCAAAAAACCCATCAAGTGCTCTGCTTAATTTGCAAAACCCATAAAGTGTTCTTGTCCCTTAACTTTATTCCCTCTTCAATCACCTCTTTGATCCATGCTCTTAACCATTATTTCCACTCTGGTTTTCTGCTTTAGCTCACTAGTTGAAGGCTCTGCCATAATTACTTTGTATGGTGCAAAACTGCTGATGGAGAGGGGGGAAATTTTTACACTAGGCACTCATTTGTTGGACTTTGTCCCATCAAATTGTCCTTCCTTCTTATCTTGCAGAAGAGTCTCCTCATTGAATCATGTTGATGTCTAACATAAAAAAAAAATGGCTGTCCCTTAACAAGATTGCCTTTGCATATTGGATCATGTAGTAACCTCAAATGAAAATAACTGTTCTTTTGGTGGGCAAATTGAGAGTTGAAGAAAAATCTAAGAGCCTCCATTTGATGCAAAAAGATGTTTCCTTGTCGTAATGTTGTGTAATTATTAGCCATGTTTTGAAAGTGGTGGGAAAAAACTTGTGGTTTTGTATGGAATTCACAGCACATGGGTAGCTTAATAGCACATTACACCAATGTCAAAGGATAATAAAGGGTGGGTGTGTGTTGGAGGGTGTTAGAAGTGGCATTTATGGAGAACAATGAAAGATGGAGAGTACTTGCAAATAGATTTCAACCAATACTAGGATTCCAATACCTCAGATGACTGGTTTGGTGGTTGTGACATGGAGATGATCACATTCGTTGTAGTGTGAGTTCGAGTGTTCAAGTGGATGACCATCTACAGAAAAAGATAGGAATTAGAATGTTGTCAAATCCAATAGTAGGTAAAACTGGCCGAAACCCCTACTGAAGATTCAGATTAAGAGCAAGGAGTCTATGTTTATTTCTTATATTATGACGGGCGATGTCTTGTCATGGGTATAACGATTTCAGTGTATAAGTATCACAAGCGCGAAAAAGAGTTGCTTGTGAAGACTGCTTAGACAAAAAAAACCCTGCTTCTGAGGACTCAAAAGATAACAAAAGAAAATCTTCGTGCGACAAAACATCAACCACACAGACATGATTAATGTTATGTTTGTCATTCCAAATTGTGAATAACATATTCGTCAGAAAGAAAATTTCAATAACTGGTTGATCCGTTACCCGATCTCTAATTTATGTAGTTGACCCCATATATATATCCATTATTTAGTGGGAAAAATACTCAAAACAATATGGTCCTTCTTTCTCTTCTCATTGTCTCATATGCTCCAATTAAAATATAAATAAGTACAATATAAAGTGATTGGAAATCAGCAATAATTATAAAAAAAATGACACAACCTTTTCCTCAAATTTCTCTCTTATGTCACACTTCTTCACATCTTTTTTCCACCCTGATGAATAAAGGAGGGATAGAAGGGGGCTGCCGCTTGAAATAAGCTTTTTGTTTGCTTCACTTTTACTTCCCACTCTTACCCTCCTCTCCTCTGATCCTCTCCTTTCTCTCCCAACTTCTTTTGATCACCCAACTATTTGATACCTTCTCTTGAATGTTGAAGTAACATGTAGTTCAGGAGGAGTTCGGTCCGCTCTTTTAATACGTGGATTAAGGTTGTAACGTGTGTTCACATGTTAAGCGAACACTGGAAAGTAGTGAAAGAATGGCCACATCTAGCCACCTCCTCTAGGATCAGTGATAGAGCCACATTTGCCTTATAAATTTAGATAAAAAAGTATATGTAAATGTTGTGACAAATTTGAAAAATAGAATAGTTGGTACTATTTTAGTCCTCTCTTGCTCATTGTCATGGTTCTAATATCATGTGTTTAGTTTTATTAGCTCTCTCGACCTCTCCTATTTCAGATTTCTTGCTCTGCCATGTTTTAGCATCAAGGTTTAATTCTCAAAAGTTGGGGTTAATACCTTATTTTGGCCCGAACTATGACCATATAATCAACTTTGGCCCGTGGTTTCAGAAATTAACATCCTGACCTCAACTATGCAGCATATAGACTCAATTAGCCCGCCACATAGTTTGACCGTCAATTTGGACGGTCAACTGTGTTGACCGTTAGTCAACATGCCATGTCATTGCCTAGTCAGCATAAAAATCATTAAAAAATTCTAATTCAAATTATTTTCCTAATTTCTATTATTTATCTTTTTCCAATTAACCAAAATATAAAATTCTAAAAATATAAAATAATTTTTTTGGGATATTTGAAAATGGTAAATTTTATAAATTAACCAAAATTATCAAATTAAATTTTATTAATTTAAAAATTATGATATTAATTATATATTTTTGGGATGTTTTAAAAATATAAAATAATTTGATAATTTTTGGTTAATTTATAAAATTTATCATTTTCAAATTATCTAAAAAATAAAATAATTAATTTATTTTATATTTTTTATAATTTATTTTTGGTTAATTTGATAATAAATAATTTTTTTAATGATTTTTAGGCTGACTAGGCAATGACATGGCGTGTTGACTAACGGTCAACGGAGTTGACCGTCCAAATTGACGGTCAAACTATGTGTCGGGCCAATTGAGTCTATATGCTGCATAGTTGAGGCCAGGATGTTAATTTCTGAAACCACGTGCCAAAATTGATTATATGGTCATAGTTCAGGCCAAAATAAGGTATTAACCCCAAAAGTTGATGTGGTTTTTTTTTAGACCGTGCTCATTCGGAATCCTGCCTCCATGCATTCCGATCCCTGCTCTCGCTCAATTTGACTTTAAACTATTGTACGTTTAGATAGTTATAGCAAGTAAAAAGTCAAAAGAATGAAAGGGTGTAGCTATGAATGAAGAGATGGTTATAAATAATAATCGTAATCATGAATTCATGATCATCATTTGTAGACATTTTAGCTACCCTAACTAACTGACGAAAGTAATTAAAGACCATTAATTAACATAATGAACATTACATGGAGAGAGAATGAGTGAGAAGGGGATGCACTAATTATTTGCAATTAAAGCAAGGTGACAAAAATGTGCAATGACTAATTATGGATGACTTGCGTGTTGTCCCTCAAGTGGCCACATCTTTTCACCCTCATTTCACCTCATCAAATAGTCATTTGATTCAATGTTTACCTCAGTAAAAAGGAATTAACACTTCCTGAATATTACTAGGACCCCAATATAAGCTTATCCATGACGATCTTATCTTCGTCAATGTTAGCACATCGGAAGCAAACTTTTGTTAGCTTCTTGTGTTATAATTTAAGATTCATTCGAATCGCTAAAACCATACAATCCAAACACAAAACTAAAGAATATCGAAACGCAATAGTATACAACATCAATATAGTAAAATTGTCACGTTTTGTACATATGATCGATTTTCCACATGATACATCTTTATATGAACCTAACAATAACCAACCTAATTATTCTCTCCCCCACGAAGTCTTCACAAATCTCCATCCAAGATTCTTCTACCAACAACACAAACGTTGAAGATTATATGTACCATGTCACCAACAACATTGTGCTACCTCCATCGACATCATTATTACAACAACCTTAACAAAAGTTTGGTATCTAGTACTTACTTTCATCTTCTGACGACTCAACTATACACAAGAAAGAAAGAAAGAAAACTTTGCCTCTTTTCCTATATTTCTAGAGAAAGACAAGAGACGATTAAGAATATATGTATACCTCGAAAGAAAAAAACAATTGTAATTCGAAAGGAATTGTACGTGGATACTCTACAAGCCGCCCCACCCAACCTTAAGCTGGTCTTTGTCTTCTTCTTCTTGTTCTTCTTGCTTATTTTGATGTACTATTCGACTTGGAAGTCAAGAAAGGGGAAGGAGGAAACATCTTTCATGAGCTCCTCGAAATCCCACTCCCCAACTTTGAGTTGGTCTTCTCCTTGCCAAAAGTTGCCAAGATTATTAGTGTTATTCACCCCTCCTCCTCCTCCCAAGTTGTTACTATGATGATGATTATTGTTGTTGTGGTGGTTACTCTCCCCCTTAATGTTGTTACTATTCACAAAAGGGTACTTATTGTTCAAGTTGCTACTTATGACTATGTTGTTATTGGGACCATTATTCTCCTCCATGCTTATGCTCTCCAATGGTGGGACTTGAAGCTCCTTATCCATCCCACTAGCAAGTCCTCCTCCTCCTGCAAACATCCCCCCTTGCCCTAACCCATACGAACCGATCATCCGATCCCCTCCGAAACTGAGAGCAGGCATCTCGTTCTGACCAACACCACCGAAGTACCCGTTCGCACCACCATACATGTTCATCAGACCCTGATGATGGTGGTCGATGTGGATCTGCAACGAGTCGATCATGTGGTTGCCAGCGTTCAGAGCCATGGACGATGACGAGGTGGATGAGTTTGTCGACGTCAGGGATGGCACGACCACGTCCATGAACATGGGCGACATGAAACCGCCCGCGCCCACCAGCCCTCCACTGTCTTTGCTCGGCAGCTCGGACGACGAGTCGCTCGTGTTGGGCGACGTTGTGGTCGAGGAGGACATGTTCTTTATTCTCTTCTTGATGGTCGAGTTCCAGAAGTTCTTGATCTCGTTGTCTGTCCTCCCTGGCAGACGAGCTGCTATCTGTGACCACCTATCAAATCATAAAGATAAGAATACAAATTAATCAAACACTATACATGTATTACAATTGTAGCTAGAAAGCAAGCAACAAACTTGCCTTGTATACTTTCCTATCATTATTGCATGATTTTGCATGGAGAAGACCCTTTTGTTCCTTTCACTCATTCCTTTGTCTTATGCTACACTACTAGTTGAGTTGTTATACATATATATATATTTTTTTTTGTATACGTATAACCAACTTAAAAGAGAACTGAAGTAAAGATGAATCATCAGGAGCCAGCTAAGCAAAACAATGATTGATCCAGCTGGATTGGTCTTGTAATACGTGTCATGTTTCTTAAATCCCAAACCATGAACTGGTTTTACGTATATTGTAGGGATCGTAGTTTAATTGGTCGTATTAATGCATGGAGTGACTTCAACTCTAAGCCTATACCAACCATATATTTGGGGACTAGTCAGCAAAAATATAAAAGCTGACTGTACACATCATGGTGTGTACACGTAGACACAAACTTTCAGCACCCTTTCAGACAAAGAAAAGTCCGTTTTCAGCTAGATTTTATTGTTTATAGAATATTTTATTATGTTGATATTAATAATAATAGAAGGTTTAATTTTCACGTGGAGAAAAAAACAGGTAGTGGGTTTAATTTTCTGTTCTTTTTGTGAATAATAATGAAGGTGTTAAAGGCATGGAATTGAAGATTATTTTTTATAAATAATTTCTTTATAATCACGTTATGTCAATCTTATAGGTGGGGAGTTTGTGGCAATTTACCATGATAACTGTCTGAAAAAACAAAGTCATTAAGGACTATTATTAATCAAAAGATGTTGTCACTGTTGGATAAAGTTGACTTAAATGGAATTATTAATATCATGATCATCACACTTCCAATCAGCTAGGTAACTTCAAGTTGTAGAAAGAGAAGTTTGGGGATTTGAAACTGGTTAGAAAATTTCTTGACTTTGACACTTTCATCTTTAACTTCAGATTTTTAACGATTGATTAGTGCGGTACAAATTTCCTTTATGAGTGAAGGTTTTTCCCCTTGTATGAAATAGAGCTGGCGAGCATATCAATAGATACCCAATGTACATATTATTACTGACTTCTAACTGACGTTGTTGTTGTTGTTGAAAAACCTGACATGACTTGTGTTCCTATTTAACGACATAGCGAGCATATCAAAGCATGTGCACGGTTGGCATACATTATCGACGAAAAAATGTTGAGTGTAAAAGGTGAACGTACTGTTACAAACAAGTAGTTGAATTCCGTCCAATGTTAACAGATGATTTAAGCAAGGGAAGAGAAGAGAAGAGTACTATAAAAGTAGAATGTGGAGAAATTAATGAAAGTACCTATTGCCAAGAAGGGAATGCAAATGGATGATGAGCTCTTCTTCCTGAGGAGAGAATGCACCCCTCTTGAGGTCAGGTCTAAGGTAATTGATCCACCTGAGGCGGCAGCTCTTCCCACACCTCTGCAGGCCAGCATTTCTGGCAACATCACTCCAGCAACCTTGGCCATTGTTCATCATGTAGTTCATCAGCTTGTCATCTTCCTCAGGCGACCAAAGCCCCTTTCTCAGCTTATTGTTGTTGTTGTTCTTTCCTGGAGTGGCATCTGGCTTCCTCATTTTGTGGAACCTCTCTCACTTTCACTGGTGTTTCTATGAGATGAAAGGAGGAGGAGGAGGGTGGAGAAGGGTGGAAAGAAAAGGAAGTGTGAGACTATCCCTCTCTCTATCCCAACTGGGTTTGATGTGGGAATTAGTTATATAGAATTGGGTGAGAAGAAGAAGATGATGAGAGTGAGAGAAATGAGAAGGGAGGCAAAGAACAAATGAGAGAGAAAGAGAGAGAGGAGAAGGAGGAGGCTTGATAGAGTGGGAATGATGATCGTGATGATGGAGATTGGTTGTGGGGTTTGCTTAGAATATAGGGAAGAGAGAGAGAGGGAAGTTGGTTGATGGGTCGAGATAGCAAAACGGTTTGGAGAGGGACTTAAAGTGAAAGATAGATGAAATAATATAGGGGGAAGAAAAAGATTATGCTGGTTTGTGGATGGATACTGTTTTTAATTAGAAAACCTTGGGAGGGGAGTGGTGGATATTTCATACTAGTATGTTTTTAGTTATGTTATGTTGGTGATGGAATGTCTTCTAATCACTTCAGTTATTTGCAATTGGGTTTTTTTATATGGTATTAGAGTCTTTGATGATCAGAAGGTTTTAGGTTTGAATCTCGATGACCCTCATTTGTCATGCACATAATATTCAAATCCGTGCAAACTTAAAGCTCGTATGAGTTGGCTTTCGTTTGAAGTGATGAGTTACTAAAATGATATAATATCAATAATTAAACATCTCCCGACTAGTCGAATTATTGGGATCAACTGGTTATTGACATTTAATCAAACTTTAACGTTGAGGGTCTTGATCAGCATTCAAACAAGAGGCCGTGTATAGTCAAAAACTCTAATACCAAGTTGTAAATTAATTTGTTCTGATAAGTCGAGCTATTTAGAAAACCCAAATATGAATCGTGTACCATGTTTAGAACAAGTCAAAACTAGTCAATGAGCTTCAAATTAAATTTCATATACACCCATAATACCTAAGATTGAATCGAATTATATCAGTATGATAGTTAGTTACTAGGAACTAGACACATGTATTAGAATCAATAAGATTCTCATATCATGTAAAGAACCAAGTCATATTAAAAAAAATCTAACTTATTGATTTATGAAAAACTAAGTATTATACCATTATCATATGTATGTGATAGATTTATTAGAAAAATATTAATAATTTAGATGCACATAATTAGTTATAAGTCTATAACGTACATAAATTATATGAAAACAATTTCTTAATCTCTCCCTATGATAATTTTTTTTTTCTTCGTTGAATCAGTTGCAATTGTATTACCAAAACTATATGCAGAGTACATATAGGGACTGATACAACGAAAAGGATTACTCAAGGCAAGTAACCCTGCAGAGAATCAAAAAGAACCCCCCAAAACCCCCCACCTGACTACTCAAACCTTCCCACCTCAACCTATAGGAAACCAGCAGCAGCCAGGTCTACCTGTAAGTCACTGTCCTCACTACCCAAATACAATAAATCAGAGATAATCATTCTACCAAGAGCTGCAGCATCCCTAGGAGCCATTTGATGCTGTCTGCTACATCTTTCACGCCACAGATATGCAACACAAGCACACCAGAAGATCCCAGCGACCCTCCCTGTCGAGGTTCCCCTCTTGTTCAAGGCAACAGCAGCTAGCACACTTCCCTGCCAACTCGGTCGACAAAGAAGATGACCTTCTCGCCAACATGAAACAACCTGCAAAGAGTAAGAACACTGAAAAAATAGATGAACCCTATGATAATTCGAGTTATATAAACAAATTGATTATTGAGATTATATCAAAATTTGAATGCTCGATGTATCTTACATCTGATTCTTGGTAACTGATCTCATATTTATAAGTAATTTAAATACCACAAATCTAAATACAAAATATAACTTTTCCAACCCCTCAAATAAGTTAAAATAAGTTATTGATACGTGTATATATCTAAAGATAAATGATGATGAGGATAATATATATTGTATATATATGGGGGGTGGTCGTCTTGTCTTTGACTCCATGATCAGCTTGTCTTTTCCCTATTCTTCACTCTCAAGGTAATTCATCATTTACTCTATTGTTTTTTTTAGATAAGGGTGATATATAGGGGTGGCTATACGGTCCGGTCCGGTTAAATTGGCCCAAATTGATCCGGTCCAGTCCGGGTTTTTTGAAAATATAAGGACCGAAGATTGGATTGGATACAGTCCGGTCTTGATCCGGTCCGGTCTTGACCCGGTCCAGTCCCAATTCGGTCTTGATTTTATATTGAGATTGTGGGAATTTGAGTGACTTAAGGCCTAAAAGGGTGAGGAGTTGGTTAATTTTTGTACTAACTGCAAAGGTTTGTGACCGTTTATGCAAATTACCATTAAGTTTTGGGTGTTGAGGTCTCTTATCCGGTCTTTATCCGGTTTTTTACCTCAAATCTAAGCCCAAAGATTGGATTGGATTGTTTACTATACGGTCCGGTTTCCGATTTTTCATCCGGTCCCGGTCCAAATGGCCAGCCCTAGTGATATAGGTTATTTTTTGTAATTAGGTACTACCGAAGGGATTCGAACCTGAGACCTCCAGGTTCAAGGCTAGTAGTATTACCACTAGACCAATCCCTTGTTCGTATCATTTACTCTATTGTAGAGAGACTATAACAACACACACAATAAAGGGAAACAAAAGGGGAGAAAAATTGAATTGAATTGAAGAGAGAAGAGCTAGTTAGGGTTGTTTCATAGCCAAGCCAAAGTTGACACTTGCTTACATTTCACATAATCCATGGCCATATACCCTCTCTCTCTCCTCCTTTCTCTCTCTAGCTGCCGCCACACGTGTAATTGAAGATAATGAATTGAATAGTATAATTTGTGTGAAAAGAGGTAGAGTAATCGTTAGGCTTAAAGAATAAAACACATATAGAAACAAATATATGAAAACTTAAAGGTCCACACTACTCCACACATAATCAAGTGGGGTTGATTGGTAATTTAGCAATGGTTTTCTTCTTTAATTAGTTGGGAGGCCGTCCAAAGAGAGATGATGGTAAGAGTAGGAAAGACTCCAATGTGTGTGTATGAGAACTATAACAACCTTAAACAATTGTGTCGTCATTTGGGGAAAGAAAGAATCACAAGAGAAAAAGAAAGTGGCCAAATTGAAAGATAGAAACCCAATTCTAATGGTTTGATCATCTAATCAACCAAGTGTAATATGAAATGTGTAGAGCTAGGGTCTTTTTTCCTTTTACTTAGTCTTGAAGTGTACTTTTTTCTTGTAAAATACTCATCGATAACAAAACATTAAAACGTATTATATTTAGGTTACTAACTGTCACATTTGCTATATGAACTTTGGTTTATCATATTTGATCTCCAATTCCAATACATATGATCATCCTCGCGAGGAGGAGCTGATATTTCACGATCAACAATCACCCTGAGCTAAATCATGTCCTAGACCAATTGTTCAAAAATATTTATTCGAGTAGTTGTATAAGCAAAATTTATAATGTGAGCATGTAAACCCGTCAATATACGGGATGATCATTTGTTATATATGCGATATCATCATGCAGTATATTTCAATGAGAACCATCGCCCAACTTATATGTCTCGAATCAACGCTACACACAGAGATTCCCCGATCGAGCACTTTGTGCAAGCGAAAGTTGTCTCCAATTCGACAAATAGGCTCATCATCTTAAAATTTGTACTTGTATGTGGGGCAACAACTATTGGATTATATATCACGAGCTCTCTAGTAGAGATGTGAATGGATATTGTGCATGTTGGGGAAGGGGTTCCCTTGATGTTTCCTAGGCTGTTGTGAAATAAGGGGGACAAAAGGTTAAATGGGATTTGAAAGAATGTGATTAAAAGCAACCTTATCAAAATGATGATGATGTTGGGAAACTATATATGTGTCAACATAGCTCTGGTTCACTTCCCATCAGGAGCAGAATCTCTCTTATTAACATGTCTTTGCATTGAAATTGATGTGCTTTGTGTTGTAGTATATGATAATGATATGCATATTTTTGTAGTAATTAGTACCATGACACTACAATTCGATCGAAACCAAGTACATGCCCTTTCTTGCCTTGTATTTTCAGTCTTTTAGATTATAACAACTTAAAATTTTCTGAAGGTGTAGAATTAAAGAAACAAGTACCCTTTTACAAAGAAACAAGTTATCAAGAAGGTGACAGTTTTGGGTTTTGTCAACCAAACTAACTAACTAGCCCTAATTTGCTTTGACAGTCTTTTGCATGCCCATTAGTCAAGTATGGAAACCCCTAATTGAATTGTAACTCAAGAAAGTGAAAGGCACCCTATCTCTTCCTCTTTTGCCCTAACCTCTCGGGGTTTGTTGTGATGAAATTCTTGCCCTAATTAAGAGTCTCTCATGAGAAATGTGGAATGATGTGAGATACAAGGAAAAATGAAAGTAGTGGTGGAAACACAGAAATTGACTTCTCCTTGTCCTATCTTATATGTATATAGTTCTTTTCTTCACCAAACCAGACCAGAAATTGACCCTTCTTCTTCAAAGATGCCCCCATCTTGGAGTAAGGACAACCAAAGAAAATTCTTTAGCCCCATACATCAAGGGAAGTTGGTGTTTGGTCATGTGCAGCCGCAGGTTTTTTCATAAAGAGAAAAAAGTATGTGGTAACCTTGGACATAGGTTGTACGTCGGAATCACTCGATTCAATGAATTCGTCGAGTATTTGTAGGACTTAGGATAGTCCCGAACAGTAGGTTGAGGCTCCCTCTATATGAAAAAATTTACTTTTAAACATACTACTGAATTACCATGTATGTGATGCTCACCGTTTTAATTCGTGTTGCAGCGGGAAGTATGCTTTGTTATGCGATTTGATCACTTGGCAAGTTAATTAAGACAACAAGGTCTTAAGAGGCCGGAGAGAATAATTAGCATCATCGACGTTTCACAATCTACTAATAAAAGTTGGAGATTAGCTAGCTAAGTAAGTCGATTTGGTGAAAAGTGAGTTGTGATATATGTGGTTCAGACTGGCGTACGTCAGGCGTATACTATACGTCAGGTACTATCAGTGAGATATCTCTATCTAGACCATGAATTAAATCGAGTTTAGGAT